CTGTCAGCTATACTGTTTTCAAGCCCAGCGATTAATTTTATGACTATTATTCTAAATTCACTTTCTGTTATATTATTTAAATCCTTTTTGATCAGCTCATTAGCTGTTGTTATTTCCTGGAGATTCTTCTGAGGGGAATTTTTCCGCTTGGTCATTTTGGATAGTCCCTGGTGTGGTGAGGACCTGCAGGGCACTTCCCCTGTGCTGTGGTGTATAACTGGAGTTGGTGGGCGGAGCCGCAGTCAGACCTGATGTCTGCCCCCAGCCCACCGCTGTGTCCACAGTCAGACTGGTGTGTGCCTTCTCTTCCCCTCTCCTAGGGGCGGGATTCACTGTGGGGTGGGGTGGCCTGTCTGGGCTACTTGCACACTGCCAGGCTTGTGATGCTGGGGATCTGGCATCTTAGCTGGGGTGGGTAGGCAAGGTGCATGGGGGCAGGAGGGGCAGGCTTAGCTTGATTCTCCTTAGGTGATCCACTTCAGGAGGTGCCCTGTGGCAGCAGGAGGGAGTCAGATCCGCTGCCGGAGGTTTGGCTCCGCAGAAGCACAGAGTTGGGTGTTGGCGCGGAGCGAGCAAGTTCCCTGGCAGGAACTGGTTCTCTTTGGGATTTTGGCTGGGGGATGGGCGGGGGAGATGGCGCTGGCGAGCGCCTTTGTTCCCCACCAAACTGAGCTCTGTCGTCAGGGGGCTCAGCGGCTCTCCTTCCCTTTGTCCTCCAGCCTTCCCGCTTTCTGAGCAGAGCTGTTAACTTATGACCTCCCAGACGCTAAGTCGCGCTTGCTGTCGGAACACAGTCCGTCAGGCCCCTCCACTTTTTGCAAGCCAGACTCAGGGGCTCTGCTTGGCCGGCGAGCCGCCCCTCCGCCCCGGCTCCCTCCCGCCAGTCCGTGGAGCGCGCACCGCCTCGCTGCCCTTCCTACCCTCTTCCGTTGGCCTCTCGTCTGCGCTTGGCTCCGGCGACTCCGTTCTGCTAATCCTCTGGCGGTTTTCTGGGTTATTTAGGCAGGTGTAGGTGGAATCTAAGTGATCAGCAGGACGTGCGGTGAGCCCAGCGTCCTCCTACGCCGCCATCTTCTAGTCACCCTTTAAAGAACATTTGGGTTGCTTCTGTTTGAGCAATTATGAATAAAGTTTCTGTAAGCATCCATGTACATAAGATTTTACTTCTTTAAGGTAAATATCCAGGAGTAGGTCATATGGTGAATGTATAAGACACTGCCAAACTATTTTCCAGAATGATGTTATCATTGTGCATTTCCTCTGACAAAGTATGATGGTTCCAGTTGCTTTGTATCCTCATTAACACCTTGTATTGTCAGCATTTTCACTGTAGTTACTCTAATAAGTTGTAGTGGCATCTTATTGTGGTTTTAATTTGCATTCCACAATAGCTAATTATGTTGAATATCATTTCATGTTCTTATTTATCATATTTAGTGAAATATCTGTTCAAATCTCTTGTCCATTTTTATTTAGTTGTTTTCTATTGTTGAATTTTAAGAGTTCTTAATATTCTGGATACAAATAAATCCTTTGTCAGATATATGTCTTGCAGATATTTTCTCCTTTTCTTTCTCTTAATAGTGTCTTTTACAGACCACACATTTTTAATTTTGATGAAGTTCCATTTATCATATTTTTCTTTATGTATCATGCTTTGGTGTCATGTCCAAGAACTCTTTACCTAACTCCAGATCATGAAGACCTTCTCCTTTGTTTTCTTCTAAAATATTTATCGTTTTATGGTTTAGATTCAGATGTGTGGTCCATTTTAAGTTGATTTTTTACAATGTTTGAGGTTTAAGTCAAAGTTCATTTTTTGCATATGGATGACCAGTGATTCTAAAGCCATTTCTTTGAAAAGATTGTCCTTTCTCCATTGAATTTCTTTTACATGTATGTCAAAAATGTAGTGGCCTTATTTGTGTGGACATATTTATAGACTCTATTTTATTGATTTATGTGTCTGTCCTCTCATCAGTCCTGATGGGTTTTAAATAATTAAAAACTACTATTTGTTATACCCATATTACACAAATAATAGTAATAACAACTACTGGAAAGATCTTTAATTACCTCTTCATAATACACTGCTGCCATTTCAAAGTTCTCATTGACTTCTGCTTCAAATGCGAAGAGTCGAAGCTGTTCATTGCTTGTATAAATGGTTGAAAGAGTGTGTTGGACATCATCTGGCATGGTCTGTCAACATCAAGATGTTAGTTAGACAAAACAAAGCAATTACAAGTAGAGAGTCTTATAAGAATAAACTAGATGGGAGACCTCAGTAACGAAATTGAAAATGACATTGGAGTTTCTTATAGTTCAATATAGTAAGAGAGTAAGAGTGAACCAAGAGAGACATATCAAGGATGAAAGAGAAGGTCAGGTATATGAATACCAACAATCTAAGCTCATGGAAGTGAGTAAAAATTAATTAGAACAGAACTCTCCTCCTCAGCACTTAGGGCAGTCAAAATCCTTAAGTAAGCCTCCTTTGACCTCAAACAGCTTCCTTAATTTTCTCTTGTGTATGGGATGAATATTATCATTTTTAGGTGCCATGACATGAAAAAGGTTGGTAAGCACTAGCTAGAATCTTCAAACATCAAAAAAATAGGAGACTAAGGATAAAGCTTTGGAAGTTACCTTTGCACATTCAGTGGGATATATAAATATATCCCCAAAAGGAAACATTTTAGAAATAGCCAGAAAGGTAGGGAAAAACCCAGAAAAATATTATGTCCTATATACCATCCAGGAAAGCAGTTATAGTATAATAAGTAATCTCCAGGATCAGAAGCTACTGCCAAGGAAGACCTCCAATTCTTTAGAATTTAGAAGTAAAAAAATTATCAGTGACATTAATAAGTAGTCTCTGTTCTTTGTTCTTTTTGATTTTGATGATCTTGACCTCCAAATTCCTCCAGCAACATACTACAGTGCCTAAACCAGAAATACTCTACCTCTAATATCCTGTTCCAAGAACCTATGTTATAAGCCTTCAATCTTTTTGTCACTTAATCCCCTTAAAACTACTCTCTGACTTTATTTCCCTCATTTCTAATATACCTGTCTTTTCCCAACTGTGTAATACCGGACCTCATGGCCATCCACTCATACTACTCTTACCAGCAAACTCAGGTCCCAGGCACCTTGTCCTTTGCCTGCACTTGGCCTGAAAATTCCCAAATTAAAACAGTCCTACAGGAGCTGCTGATTGGTCCAGAGGAAGACTGCATACACACAGAAATCTCTGAGCTGCCACAGATTCTTTGGCATTCAGTCTTAGCTAAAGGCCTTTCATACTCAGTAATCTATGTATTTGTCCTTGTTTAGCAACACATTCCATAATACTATGATGCAGTGTCTAAATTTTCTTTCTTCAAGCTTTTCATTCAACCTTTACTCCCTTCATTGTCCAGTAAACACATTACTTCGCAGAGGAAATGGAAATCATCGGGCCAGGGATACCTCAGCTTTTGAACACCATACTGATATAGTTTATTTCTGTATCCACTGTATCTCTTTACTTTCAGTCTGAAGAAGCATCACATCCTTCTCTGTTGCAAGACTAATCTTTCCATCTAACTTCTTGATTCTTTCCCATTTGTATATACCCTGGGTTTGCCATCAATTATTCTCTCTTTCCTTCTATTTTTAATTTCTCCCAGTCTGCTGACTCCTTCTCCCAAACCGATGGACATGCTAAAGGCATTTCTAGCTTAAAATGAAAACCTTGATAATTTCTGGCTACTATTTTCCTACTTCTTCCTTTTATCTTCCAACTTCTTTTTCCAGTTTATTTATTTATTTTCAGAGAGAGAGAGAGAGAGAGAGAGAGTGCACAATCAGGAGAGGGGAAGAAAATAGAAGGAGAGAGAGAGAGAATCTTAAGCAGAGAGAGATCTGACATGGGGCTTGATCTCAGGAACCTTGAGATCATGACCAGAGCTGAAATCAGGAGTCGGACACTCAACCAAGTGAGCCACCCAGGCGTCCCCCAGCTTCCTGAATTTATATTTATCTGTTTCCTAAGCACTCATTTACTCCACAATTCATTATAATTTGAATCCTCTCCATTAGTCCAATGATACTGCTATGTAAAAGTTAATAACCTCCTTATTTTCAGATCCAATGAAAACTTTTCAAATTTTGTTTTTCTTTTTCTCCAGTTTTATTCAGATATAACTGTCGTGCATCACTGTGTAAGTTTAAGGCACATAGCTTAATGGTTTGACTGACATATATTGTAAAATAATTACCATAGTAAGTTTAGTTAGCATCTATCATCTCACATGGACACAATAAAAAGAAAAAAATTTCTTGTGGTAAGAACTCTTAGGATTTACTCTCCTAACAAGTTACAAATATATCAAACAACAGTGTTAGCTATAGTCATCATGCTGTACATCATATCCCTGGTGCTTGTTTATCTTGTAACTTGAAGTTTGTATCTTTTGACCGCCTCGTTCCAATTTCCCCTTCCCATTCCCCAGCTTTTGTTTTTCATAACTCCTAGGAATATTTGACAATGTTGACTACTTTTTCTTCTTAAAATTCTCTTCCCTTAGCTTTTGTGACACCACTGTCTTCTGGTTCTTTTGCTCTTTTAACAATTCACTTATCTCCTTAATTAATTCTTTTATTCATCCATCCCTTAAATGTTGGTATTTCTATAGTGTTCTACCACCAGCTTGCTTCTCTCTCTACTTATGTTTTCCTCAGCAGCTCCATCTATAACCATAGTTTAACTAGCATCTACAAGTATATCTTGTTTTATTGAGCTTCAAAGATATTGCTTTTTTTATTTTTATTTTTTTTTACAAATTGAAGGTTCATGGCAACTCTGTGTCAAGCAGGTCTGTTGGTACCATTTTCCAATAGCATTTGCTTACTTGTCTCTGTGTCACATTTTGGTACTTCTCACAATATTTTAAGCCTTTTTTTTTTTTTTCTCAACGTTTATTTATTTTTGGGACAGAGAGAGACAGAGCATGAACGGGGGAGGGGCAGAGAGAGAGGGAGACACAGAATCGGAAACAGGCTCCAGGCTCTGAGCCATCAGCCCAGAGCCCGATGCGGGGCTTGAACTCGCGGACCGCAAGATCGTGACCCAGCTGAAGTCGGACGCTTAACCGACTGCGCCACCCAGGCGCCCCAATATTTTAAGCCTTTTTATTGTTAATTATATTTGTTACGGTGATCTGTAATCAGTGACTAGGACTCAGTGAAAGCTCAGATGATGGTTAGCATTTTTTAGCAATAAAGTTTTTAGGTTTTGTTTTTGTTTTTGTTTCTGTTTTAGAGAGAGAGTGTGTGTGAGCTGGGGAGAGGGCCAGAAGGAGAGAGAGAATCTTAAGCAGGCTCCACACTCAGTGTGGAGTCTGACACAGGGCTCAATCCCATGACCCTGGGATCATGACCTGAGCAGAAATCAAGAGTTGGACGCTCAACTGACTGAGCCACCCAAATACCCAGCAATAAACTATTTTTTTTTAATTTTTTTTAATGTTTATTTATTTTTGAGAGAGAGTGAGACAGAGTGTGAGCGGGGGAGGGCCAGAGAGAGGGAGACACAAAATCGGAAGCAGGCTCCAGGCTCTGAGCTGTCAGCACGGAGCCCGACGTGGGGCTCGAACTCATGGACTGCGAGATCATGACCTGGGCTGAAGTTGGACGCCCAACTGACTGAGCCACCCAGGCGCCCCTAAACTATTTTTTAATTAAGGTATGTACATTGTTTTTCTAGACATAATGCCATTATTGCACATGTAATAGAGTATAGTATAGTGTAAATATAACTTGTATATGCACTAAGAAACCACAATATTAATTTGACTCACTTTATTTTGATATTTGCTTTATTACGGTGGTCTAGAATCAAATCTTCAGTATGTCCAAGGTACGCCTATATGCACTTATGGCTCCCCAAATCTCATCTCCAGCTCAGATCTCACTCTTGAGAAAAATCCCACAAGAGCTAATATTCAAAAGTAATTTCAATATCACCTACCTCCCACTAAATCTGCTTGTGTTGTATTTATTGTCCCACTTACTGGTACTACCTGCTACCCAGTCATTGAGGCTTAAACTTAATCTTTGCCCCCTTTTCCTACTTACTGTGTAATAACCAGTTAACATCACCAGTTTCACTGCATCTAACCCAACTGACACACTGTTATCAGTGTTTTTCATAAAATGTAGATTTGATCATACTATTCCCCAGTGTAAAATAATTACATTTATTGCTTCCAAAATGCTAATAATAGAAAAGGCAAAACTTCTTTCTGTGGCATACAAGGTCTCCATCCATATTCCCAACTCCCCTACTAGGAACTTATTGATCCCTGGCTTCACCTCCTGCTTCTCTGTTCCTTAACCAGTTTAGCATCCGTTCCCGAACTATATGCAGTTTCTGTGTATTCCATATGCTTCCAAGTTTCCAAGCTTTTGTGATGTTACCTATGACTCAAATACTCTGAATCCTCCACCTTGAGAATTTTTTAGCCTTCAAGCTCAATCCACAGCTCTTCTGTGAATCCTTTACTGACAGGTCTCAGGGCAAAGTTGATTACTTTTTATTTAGGTATCTCCTAACCTGCTTTACCATGGACACACCCCTTCACAGCATTGACCTCACCCTGCTACACTTATTTGTATTTTATGTCTCTCTGTCTACTAGACAGGGATTCCTTGGAGGCATAAGGCAACAGTAATTACCACCTAATGTTCAATTTTCAAAGCAATTCATCCAAGTCATCTGTGCCCAAGGCAGGATTGTTCTCTTAATGCTAGCTAGAATACTGGACATTCCTCACCTTCCTCTTCCAGAAAGGCTAGACAAGTTGAAAGAAAAAATGATAGTGACAGAGAAGAAAATCAAGTGAAGGAAAGAACAAATAGAATAGAGGGTTTGAGGAAGCATAGCTGCTTAGCGACTACCAATAGGACAAAAAGACTTTGGTTTTTGTCATAGTTTTCAAATAAACCACAACTGTATACATTTAAAAAATGAGCAAATGAAGGCAATATGCAAGCTGTGCAAATACAGATATAAACAGATAAATGGGAGGAGGGGGGCACCTGGGTGGCTCAGTCAGTTAAACGGTCAACTCTTGATTTTGGTTCAGGTCATGATTGCACGGTTGTGGGATCAAGTCCTGTGTTGGACTCCCCGCTGAGCGTGGAGCCTGCTTGGAATTCTCTCTCTCCCTCTCTCTGCCCATCCTCCCCACAAAATAAATAGATAAACTTAAAAAAAAAAAAACAGACAAATGGGAGAAAAACAGGCTACCCGTCCAATGAAAAGGCATGTTTGAAGCATCATTGTCATATAGGTCCAATATCTGAAATCTCATAATGTTTCTTGGTTTTGATTGCCAATATCAGAGAACAAACTGAGAATTACACACATTCACAGAATAAATAAAATGATGATTTTTGTTTTACAATTTGCATTAGCCGATTTTATTTATTGTTTTAATCGATCACATTTCTGTTTGCTGAATTAAGGAAGAAAGGAATCAAGGAAGGAGGGAATCATTCAGAGACTTTGAGGCCTTAAAGAGAAAAGGAAGGGCTCTCAGTTATTGATCACCTACCTGGTTTAAGGCCACATGCATCTGATCCACCAAGAACACATAGAGCTCACTAATAAATGTCTGCAGTTCCTCCTGGCTTTCAAATGATGTTGTCTTCAAATACTTCTCTCTCACAATCTTTACTACAGCATGCTGTAAGAGGTATAGATCACCCATTTGATAACAGAGTCCAGTACCATGCTGACAACACAGGCCTCCCTTGAGCATCTGGTCTAAGGCTCATCAGAACTTCAGAAGATGATTGGTTTCTCCCTTGGTGACTGATAAGAGTGTCAGCTCTGATTTTCCTCTGATTTTTTACATACTCTGCATGACTTCTTTTCTTAACGTCATCACTAATATAGTCAATGCAGAACTCATATCATGCGAAGAGAGTTATAAAGCTAAAGAAGACCTCAGCATTAGGTTTATGTATTACATCTCTCATCATGGCCACATGATACAAGAGAAAAAGGCCTGATTTGACAGTCTAGAGAATGGAATTCTGGTTCTAATCCTGCCACTGTACAACCTCAAAAATTACAGTTAGTACCTCATTTTCCTCATTTGTTATATGGATGTGTGTTTCTGGTATTATTATCTTACTTCAGAAGATGATTGAGAAGCCAAAGAAAGATAACAGGTAGGTGGTGAAGCTTAAAATGCTGTACAAATAACATATTGCTATAGCCATGACAGCTTTTATTCCCCTTAAGTTAATGTTATTGTCAGGTTTTGTACTAAGCAGTTTCCATGCATTATATTATTTAATTCTCATAATGAACCCATGTGATAATATTAGTATTATCCCTTATTGTTAGGCAAAGAAATTGAAGCTCAAAGAGATAAAGTCACCATCCAGCTAGTAATGGCAGAACCAGGAATTAAACTAAGTTGTAATCATGCCATCTACTGAGAAGAGTGTTTTGCCTCCATCAGCATCAGTGTTTTTCACTTTATTACTTCCATGTGCTTTCTTTTTATCTGTTTAGTACAGGACAGGACACACAGTAAATGTGCTCAGAGAGGCAATCCAGTGTAGCAGTTAAGAATATGAGTTCTGGAGCAAGATTGCCTAAATTTAAGCCCCATCTTTAACCTTTACTATCTCTGTGATCTTAAGGAAATTACTTAACCAGTTAATATTGCATTTCTCCATCCGTAAAATGAGGAATATCTACCTCATAGGGTTGTTGTGAGGATTAAATTAGTAAAATTTGAAGCATTTAAAAATTTGTCTGGTGTAAGCAAACACTCAATAAATGTTAGCCATTATTATTTGGGAAATTATTATTAAGTAAATATTTCTCAAATCTTAGTGATTGTGTGGACGATGGAAAGGTTGGCAATGGGAGACAGAGTAGTCATGGAATCAGTAACATGTACAGAGTTTCATCCCTGCAACATGAAACCTGTCTCAAAACTTGCCCCCCTCAAGTAAAGACTTAGTTTCTTAAAAGCTCACACTTGGAATGGATACTGAACCATTCCAAGGCTTTGCACAAGTAGAGTTTGTGGCATTCTATCATAAGGCACATTGCTAGCAAGAATGTGGAAGCATAGCTGGACAACTATAATTAAGAATGTAGAGAAGATGCTTCACAAAAATCCATGGAATAATTAAATGAATATTTACCTTGAGTTGTTCTTTGAAAGCAAAGTATTTTCCAGAGCAGTTAAGTTCATAGTTGAGCTGGCACTTCTGTTCCTCTAGGGTTTCACTATCCATATCACTCCCTAGTTTGGCCACCTGTTTTCCAAACATCCTGTGATACTCATCCAGAATGGCTCTAGAAATATTTTTGATCTGCATGTGGTAGTCACTCACCGCCTAGGAAAATACAAAATGTTTGGAAAGAGGCCTCAGATCAAGATGTGTAATGGAAGTCTGAAAGTGGATTGGGTTTTACATTCAATACTGCTTTAGGTACAAATTGCCCTTTTCAGCTCAGAGACCAGCCAAAGACTAAACACTATACACTATTCACTGTCTGCCACTGGTCACAAACAAAACCAGGAGGGGAAATATATGCAGCTACAATTTCTCACCCCTTCTGGAAAACATACTGAAGAGTCCATGCCTTATTTTCCAATGGGTATACTCAACATGTTATTATAGTTTCACCTTAGCTTTGGCACTTGCCTTTTGAGCTCCTCCTGTCCGACGGGTAAGAGGCGGCCTTGGCGGAATCATATCCTTGACCCTGTACCAGGAAAAAAAAAAAACAACAAAAAATAAACAATGATCCGCAGATTTATGTTCTCTTATTCATACCTCCAAAGAGCCTATACAAGGGAGATCTAAGGTCTGTTCCCACATCACACTTGAGCACTGTGCATTTCTCTCATATAAAAGCCTAGATGTGAACCATAGAACAATATATGGCTGTGAACTAGATAGGGAAGAAGCCAGGAAGCAGCTACTCAGAAACTAACTAAGTTGTACTTTTTTTGGCTAATTTGAGCCCTGGCTTTACTCTCACACATTTTTTTAAACTGCTATTGCATTCAAGAGACTGTTTGACTCAGGAGTTGGAAAGATATGGGTGTTATGATTTTAGGTGCACTCAGAAGAGTCTCTGATAGCATGAAGTTTTGGAAATCCAAATGGTACAAGGCAAGTGAAAGCTTTTCTTTCCTGTCCATCGAGGATAAAAAGTGTACTCTTGGTCATAATTTATGACTGCATTCAATTACAATAATGATACCAGACTTTGTGGTGAGTAAGAAAGTATATTTTGTCACTGTCAACCTACTTATGCTAAACTTTCTACCTTCCATTTTCAGGAGACCCTACAAAAACTAGAGGAAATTAAGTTCTAGTTCTTCCTCCTTGTAGCTTCAGATTCCTGCTGAAGTATATAGTACTGCCTTAAAGTTTATAATCAAATTCACAAATTCAATTTTTCTTTAATAGGTCATATGTAATTGTATATCTCTGCTCTTGATTTCTAATTTTAATTTTATTTAATAGGTAATACAGTCATGATTCAGAACTTAAGAGGCATGAAACAACATATACTAAATTGTCTCCTTGTTATTAGACTTGTTGACAACCTTGTCTTCCAGCCATCCAATTTCCTCTCCAGAGACAACGTTATCTATTCACTCATTCAAAATATATACTGACTGCCTATTATCCATCAGTCACTTTTCTAGATGCTGGGGATAGAGCATAAAACAAAGTAGATAAAAATTCTTGCCCTCATGGAGCTTGAATTCTAGCAGGGAAAGAAAGACAATAATTAAGATAAATATGTTAGTGATATGTGCTGTGAAGAAAAATAATGCAGGAAGGCAAATAGACTATGTTGGGAGCTAGGGTGGTGAAGTAGGGAAGCACATTTCATCAAGTCACTTTACTGAGATGCTAACATTTGAGGAAAGACCTCAGGGAAGTGAGGAAGCAAGTTGTGTAGATATCTGGGATAAGAAAAGTATAGGCAAAGAGAACAGAAAGTGTAAAGGCTTTGCTGCAACAATGTGCTTGGCATGTGTGAGGAATAGCAGGAAGCAAGTATGGCTGGACTGAAAAAGTGAGAGCAAAGTACATACAGAATATGTAAGGAGTTGTAGGCCATTGTAAGGACTTTGACTTTTACTCAGAGTGTGCCAGGGAGTCACTGGTGGTTTCTGAGCAGAGGAGTTACATCAGTTGACCTCCATTTTAACACAATCATTATCAAATGTTGTATTAAGAATTGTCCAAATGTCCATCGACTAAAGAATGGGAAAAAAATGTGGTACATCCATACAGTGAAATCTAATTTAATAACAAAGAAATGAAGTACTGATACATGTTACAGTATGGATGAACCTTGACAGCATTACGTTAAACATGAAAGTTGCACACATCCTAGGATAGGATACATGCTCAGAAAAGACCAGAGAAGACCCCAAGCTTCCACCACTGACTGACCTACAGTCCCAGTGCAAGCAGGAAGTGAAGGTTGAGGCAGAAATGTAAACAGCCTTGTTAAGTGTTAAAAGAATGCTCCAGTATGGAATCATTTGCAGACAAAAGAAATATTTTTTGTTTTATTTTTATTTGTTTGATTATCTTAAGATCTTGGCATTTAAGGAAATCTCAATCAAAACATTGGCTGAAAAAAACAAACAAACAAAATAAACCAACCCACATTGGCTAAACACAATCTACCACTTCAACAATTAAGAACAGCAAACCCTGGGGAAGGGGAAAATCAGATTTCCAAAGTTTGTATAATATCCAAATGTCCAGTTTTCAACAACAAAAAATCACAAAATGTACAAAAAACATAAAAGTGTGCCTCTTTCAAAGGAAAAAAATAAATCTATAGAAACTGTTCCTGAAGAAGTCCACACTCAGACTTGCTACAAAAAGATGTGAAATAAAGCAATTTACTCAGGCTCAAGAGCTAAAGGAAACCACAAACAAGGAAAGAGAAATCAGGAAAATGATGTATAAACAGAAAGAAAATAGAATATCAGTAAAGAGACAGAAATTTTTAAAAGAACCAAACAGAAAGTCTGTAGTTGAAAAGTACAATAACAGAAAGGATAAATTTACTAGAAGGTTCAACAGATTTGGTCAGGCAGAAGAAAGAATGAGCAAATTTGAAGAGAGGATAATTGGAATTACACAATCTGAGGAACAGAAAGAAAAACAAATAAAAAAAAGTAAAGAGAGCCTAAAATCTGTGGTACACCATCAACATACACAATGTGTGTGACCAACATATACCCTATGAGAATCCCAGAAGGAGAAGAGAAAGGGGCAGAAAGAATTATGAAGAAATAATGGCCCCAAACTCCCAAAATATGGAGAAAGACATGAATCTATATATCCAAGAAGCATAACAACTTCCAAGCAGAATAATCTTGAAGAGATCTACATTAAGATAAATTGTAGTCAAACTGTCAGAAGCCAGAGACAAGAGAAAAACTCAAAAAGCAATGAGAGGAGTGACTTGTCACAAAAGATAAACAGATAATTTCAATAATGTCAAAAAGAATAACACAAGCCATGGAGGCCAGAGGTACTAGAGTAACATATTTAAAGTTTTGAAAGAAAAAAGAATGCCTGCCAAAAATTCTATATACAGCAAATTATCCTTCAAGAATGAAGAAGAAATTGGGGCGCCTGGGTGGCGCAGTCAGTTAAGCATCCGACTTCAGCCAGGTCACGATCTCGCGGTCCGTGAGTTCCAGCCCCGCGTCGGGCTCTGGGCTGATGGCTCAGAGCCTGGAGCCTGTTTCCGATTCTGTGTCTCCCTCTCTCTCTGCCCCTCCCCCGTTCATGCTCTGTCTCTCTCTGTCCCAAAAATAAACATTCAATAAACATTGAAAAAAAAATTAAAAAAAAAAAAAAAAAGAATGAAGAAGAAATTAACAAAATAAACAAAAACTAAGAGTCTATCTTAAATACAGAGAACAAACTGAGGGTGGATGGAGGGGTGGGGAGAGGGGAAAATAGGTGATGGGCATTGAGGAGGGCACTTGTTGGGATGAGCACTGGGTGTTGTATGTAAGCCAATTTGACAATAAATTATATTTAAAAAAACTAAAAGTCTATTAGTAAGACCTAATTTATAAGAAATGCTAAAGGGAGGGGTGCCTCAGTGGCTCAGTCAGTTGAGCATTCGACTTCGGCTCAGGTCATGATCTCAAAGCATGAGTTCAAGCCCTGCATCAGGCTCAGTGCTATCAGCATGGGGCCCACTTCAGTTCCTCTGTCCCCCCCTCTCTCTTTCTCAAAAATAAATACACTTAAAAAAAAAAAAAGAATGCTACAGAGAGCCCTTCAGGCTGAAATGAAAGAACAACTAGTCAGTAACTGTAAGGTAACTGAAGAATAAGGAACACTGGTAAAGGTAAACATGAAAGCCAGTATTATTGTACTTCTGGTTTTAAACTCCTTTTTACTTGTTTGGGGAGCCTGGGTGGTTCAGGTCATGATCGCATGGTTCGTGGGTTCGAGCCCCACATCGGGCTCTGTACTGACAGCTTGGAGCCTGGAACCTGCTTCAGATTCTGTGTCTCCTTCTTTCTGTATCCCTCTCCTGCTTACCCTCTGTTTCTCTCTCTCAAAAATAAACAAACAGTAAAAAAAATTTTTTAAATAAAAATAACCCCCTCTTTACTTGTTTGTAGAAGGCAAATGCACAAATTGTAATTAGAAATATTTGCTAATAGGCACACAATGTATAAAAATATAATCTGTGACAATAATAATATAAAAAGGGAAAGATGGAGATATAGAGAGGCAGGGTGAATAGTATTGAAACTTAGTTGGTATTATTCCAATTAGATTGTTAAAGGTTTAAGATGGTCATTATAGGGGCACCTAGGTGTCTTAGTCAACTAAGCATCCAACTCTGGGTTTCTCCTCAAGTCATGATGTCATGAGTTCAAGCCCTACATAGGTCTCTGCACTGTTAGTGCTTGGGATTCTCTCTCTCCTCTCTCACTGCCCCTACACTGCTCTTTCTCTCAAATAAATAAACAAACTTAAAAAAAAAGATGGTCATTATTATTTCCAAGGTAACCACTAAGAAAAAAGAATGAAGATTCAAATTACTAAAATCAGAAATAAATATGGGGACAGTACTCCCCATTTTTATAGAGGTAAAAAGAATTATAAGAGAATACCATGAACAGTTGTACATCAACAAACTGGATAACCTAGATGAAATGGACAACTTCCTAGAAACACAATCAAAGCACTATGGTACAATATTAAAAAAGTTTTTTAAAAATTGCACTTATTTATATGTGACATGGGTGTATATGTGTGTATTTTAGGAACTTTAACTCCAGAAGGATAAATACCAATTTTTTAAAAATGGTTATCACTGGGGCACCTGGATGGCTCAATTGGTTAAGCATCTGACTCTCGATTTGGGCTCAGGTCATGATCTCATGGCTTGTGGGATCAAGCCCTGCATCAGGCTTTGAGCTGACAATGCAGAGCCTGCTTGGGATTCTCTCTCTCTCTCTCTCTCTCTCTCTCTCTCTCTCTATCTCAAAATAAATAAATAAACATTTTAAAAAGATTCTTAAGTGGTTATCACTGGGTGAGTAGAAATCTGAGTATTTTTATATGCTTGCTGATCTCAATTTTCTCAAGATCTTGACTTTTTTTTTAAGTTGATGTATTTATTTTTGAGAGAGACTTGGGGAGGGGCAGAGAAAGAGGGGGAGAGAGAATCCCAAGCAGGCTCCACACTGTCAGCACAGAGCCTTATTTGGGGCTTGAACTCATGAACCATGAGATCATGACCTAAGCCAAAATTAAGAATCGGACGCTTAACCAACTGAACCACCCAGGCATCCCTTGATTTTTCTTTTTTTTTTTTTTTTTATGCTGAGCATATACTGCTTTTGTAATAAGAAGACAACTATAACAAAAGAAACTTAATCTGGGCTAAAAAACCAGAAAACTGTCTGCTGCTTAGTCTAGGGAAATTATATTTACGGAGACAATCTGAATTCCTTTTATTTATATCTAAAATGTTTTTGCAAAAAATATATATATATAAATATAAGAACCATTGCTACACACCTTCTGGCTAGCTCCTCTGGCATTCGCTTTGGAACCAAGGCTTTGTCCAGCTGAATCTCCAACACAATGTATGTGCCTGCTTCTACATATTGCTGTAAAGATATTTTTCTCTCATTTATTCTTTCCATTAAGAACAGATATTTATGAACAAATTTTAGTAACATAGGATAACATATACAATATAAGAAAATTGCATATACAACTATACATATATAGTGTGATCTTGACTGTCAAAATATTCTTTATATAGAAAAATAACTGGAAAGAAAAATAGTTACAGTGGTTATCTCTTGCATAAAAGGATTTTCAATTTTATTATTGGAAACTTCTACCTCAGCTGAAGCACTGTTTAACTTGTTCAATACTTTTCTTGTAACTGTTTTAAGTGAATGCTATTCTTTCTGCCACCAAATCTTCCAAGTCCAAGCATTTCCAATCAGAAATATTCTGACATTCCCATTCACAGAATCCACATCACCATCTACCAGCTGCAGTTTGATGGACATTTCTATCCAAATTTTTTTCCAGCACCCTAAATACAGCATGTCCAAAATTTATCATTTCCCTTATATTGATCTCTCTTTGACTTATGATTTTGTAATCCTTCTCGAAAGTGAGGCTTGAAACCTGCGTTATCTTTAGCTTTTCTTCCTCAGCACCCTTAAAGCTCCCCAATTCCAAATCTTGCCTCTTCAAGTTTCTGATTTTCCTTACTACAATCTCTTCCCTAAATCAAACTATCATCACACACTCACCTGTACAATTAGAAAAACCTATAAACCAATATTTGAAGCCCCTACCCCAACTTCATTTTCTCTGTTTTCACTTCCTTGCAAGAGTTCTACCCTGAAATACATAGGAGGTCTTATTTCTACATGACTTAAAAATCATTAATAGGAGTCTCCAAGATGAAGCTCAAGAGTTCCTTATCAGCTACATAATGAAGTCCAAACTTGTTAGCAAATCTTTCAGTCTTTCTGCAACTCAACACAGCCTCTCTCTCCTTTCTCACCTCCGTCTAGAAATTCTCGTTTCTTTTCATCTCTATTCCATACACTAAATTAACTGATACACTCTAAATTCTGCTACCTTCTTTGTGTCCTGACTTGGGCTGTTCCTTTGCCCTGAAATGCCTACCCTCTCATCTTCATCCGGCAAACTATTCTCTTCATCTTTCACTACTTAGCTCAAATGCCAGCTCTTCCATGAAGCCTTCTGAGACTGCTTTATCCTAGGAGCGATTCATCTGTATTATGTGAGCCCAAACAGCACTTTTATTTGTACCTCTATTATAATATTCATCAAAATTCTGTGTTATGGTTAGTTATGTACCAATCTGTTTCACCCACCAGACTGTTGAGTGTCTTGAGGGCAGATGAGTAAGTGCTACAGATGATGCATCTCTGCATGATTTCTAATATATAATACAGTAGAATTACTAAAACACATAATTTTTTAATGTTAGAAAGGACCTAAGGTTAATTTGGTACTACCTGCTCATTTTAGAGAGTCTCAACAAGACAAAGAAATTTACCCAAAGTTATAAACTAGTCATGGCAAATATGGGATGGTAATTGAGATAATGAGAATTTTTCACAATACCATACTATCTTGCTCAGTAAAAAACTGATGAATTTAAACTTAATTTTCCAACTCTTTATGCATAGTTACCTGTCCTTCTGGATTGTGGCTTAGAGAGGGTTCAAATTCCAAAGGAGTATCTGAGCTCTGAGATTTTATACTAGGTGCTTGCTGAAAGAAAATGAACATGCCTCAAAAACTGAATTCTTACATGGTCTTCCCAATGGCAGGAACAATGATCATTAAGTTGCAACAAAAGGCAAACTAAATTGATGCAATTCACCCAATAATCAGTACAAGCCTGTGAAATGTAACAAAACTAGCAAAATCGTCACCTTCTCAACAACCTACCATATCCCCAGGCCTAGGCCTTCCTTCTATATCCTTTTCTTTGACTGCTTTATCTTCTTTCAGGTTCTTTGAAACAACTAGTTTAGACAATGGAGAATTAATTCCTCCTATTTTATTATTCTGAATCAAATGATGGCCAGTATCCCGGAACAAGCTAAATAAACATTTGGTCTGAAAAGAAACAAACAAACAAAAAAAATGCAGTGAATCACAGGTGAATGAGACAAATTTGAAAGAAACTCACATTATTCTTTAAAAACATTTAGTTTTCTAGATAATTTCAACATTGTAGAATCAGAGGGAAATAGGGAAAAGAAAAACTTCACTGAATCGCCATACTTGTTGAACAGGTAAAACCCTCATAGAAAATTAGCTATCTATCCTATCATTTAAATTATTACAATGAGATTGTTCAACATCGCTTGGTTTTGGTGTTTCGTAACTCTTGTTCCTAGAAAACTTTTAATTTTTGATACATAATTTCAGATTAACTTTAAATGGTAGATATGGGAAATAGGTTCAAGAATTCCTCACATTTACACAAATGGGTTAAAAAGGGTTAGGGCCCAGAGCTGCTGCAGGGCAAAAGCCCCCAAGGTTAGCTAGCTAGACTAGCTAACTAGTAACTTGTTATCTTTAAAATTGCATGCTCCATCAATCTGAAACTTTAAAGAAGACAGCTAATCCGTTGTATCACCTACAGGAAACTACTTATCATCTGGCACCAATATATTACTGTGCTTTGACCACAACTTTAAATGCTACTTTCCTCCCAGACCCTTTGCTTCTTACACATATGAGTTAATGATTCCTGTTTCCGTCTGCACACTCACCACGTATGTAAAATCTTGAGAACTCAATAAATATGGAGACGAAATCCCTGTTCAGGGCTCTTGTCTCCTCCCAGACATTAGCCTCTCTCATTTTCATTTCTGTGTCAGTGTCTGCTCTCTTGCCGGACAAGAGAGAATTTAGGATTCCTGATCTGTAACAGGTAGAATTTATTTCTGCATAAGAAATATCTAATTACTACTTGCCTATCAACTATAATTGGAAAAATAGGGCAAGTTTAAAATTCAACCTAAAAATTTTGTATGGGAAAATCAAACTATAGATAAATGAAGAATCGTAACATTTTTTAATAATTTTTTTATGTTTATTTATTTTTGAGAGAGAGAGAGAGAGAGAGGGAGACAGAGCGTGAGCAGGGCAGGGGCAGAGAGAGACAGTGGGACACACAGATTTTGAAGCAGGCTCTAGGCTCTGAGTTGTCAGCACAGAGCCCCACGCGGAGCTCAAACTCACGTACCATGAGATCATGACCTGAGCTGAAGTCAGATGCTTAACCAACTGAGCCACCCAGGTCCCCCAGAATCATAACATTTTTTAAACTAAACAACATGGTTGAAGTCTAAATAGAATTTATGCTGAGTGAAAGAAGCCAGACTAAAAAACAAAGAGGGGAAGACTGGTCAGAGGTATGAGAGGATAAGAACAGACACAAGAAAGTTTGGGGGGGGGGGGCCGGAAATGGATATTTGCCTTATCTTGATTGTGGTGATAGTTTCACTGATGTGCTATAAATATTCATATACATGTCTTTGTGTAAATGCAGGTTTTCAGTTCTCTTAGGTAGATTCTTAAAAATGATTTTGTTGAGGGGAGCACTTGGGTGGCTCAGTCTGTTGAGTGTACAACTTCAGCTTAGGTGCTGATCTCATGGTTCATTAGTTCAAGCCCCGCACTGGGCTTGCTGCTGTCAGCACAGAGCCCACTTCAGATCCCCTGTTCCCCTCTCTCTCTGTCCCTCCCTCGCTTGTGAGAACCTCTCTCTCTCTCTCTCTCTCAAAAATAAGTAAACATTTTAAACAATGATTTTGTGGGTTGTACGCTAAGTTAATGCTTAATATAGATTTTCTATGTAGTTTTTCTACCAAGTATTAAGATTGAAATATTGAAATTTCTAAATGTCAGATTATCTCTTTTTCAATTCTGTTAGTTTTTGCTTTAAGTATTATGAGTTTCTATTGTTAGGTGTGTATACATTTATAATTTATATATTTATTTTACACAATACTTTGAAATTCTTTCTGATTAATTGACCCTTTAATCATTATGACATGCCACTCTATGTTGTTAGTAATACTTCCTGTCTTGAAGTCTATTTTGTCTGATATAAATATAGCCACTCCGCTCTGTTATGTTTTCTATTTGCATAGCATATTTTATCCAACCATTTGCTACAATCTCCATGTATCTGAATCTAAGTGTGTCTGTTTTTAAATAGCATATTATTGAATCTTGATTAAAAAAAATTTTTTTTAATTCATTCATCAGTCATTTTTGAGAGAGAGAGAGAGACAGAGTGTGAGTGGGGGAGGTGCAGAGAGAGAGGGAGACACAGAATCCAAAGCAGGCTCCAGCCTCCAAGCTGTCAGCACACAGCCCGATGTGGGGCTCAAACCCATGAACCACAAGATCATGACATGAGCCAAAGTTGGATGCTCAACCAACTGAGCCACCCAGGCCCCCTGAATCTTGATTTTTTTTTAAATGTGGTCTTATAATCTCAGTCCTTTCATTGGGGTATTTAACACTACTTACATATAAAGTTATCACTGAAATATTTACATTTATGTTTGCCATTTTACTATTTGTTTTCTATATATCTTCTGTCTTTTTTGTTCCTCTGTTCCTCCTTTAAATGCCTTCTATTATGTTAAATATGTATATGTACACACACACACACACACACACACACACACACACACACACACAATTTTCTTGGCCATCCTAACTAATCACAATGTATATCACACTGATATTAACTTAATTCAGGTATAATGTAGAAATTTTAGCACACTGTAGTTCCATTCTATCCTCCCTCCTTTATGTTACTATTATCATACAAATTAAATCTATACATGTTCTGTGGCCCCAGCGGTGGGCTGGGGGCAGACATCAGGTCTGACTGCGGCTCCGCCCACCAACTCCAGTTATACACCACAGCACAGGGAAGTGCCCTGCATGTCCTCACCACGCCAGGGACTATCCAAAATGACCAAGCGGAAGAATTCCCCTCAGAAGAATCTCCAGGAAATAACAACAGCTAATGAGCTGATCAAAAAGGATTTAAATAATATAACAGAAAGTGAATTTAGAATAATAGTCATAAAATTAATCGCTGGGCTTGAAAACAGTATAGCTGACAGCAGAGAATCTCTTGCTACAGAGATCAAGGGACTAAGGAACAGTCGCGAGGAGCTGAAAAACGCTTTAAACGAAATGCATAACAAAATGGAAACCACCACGGCTCGGATTGAAGAGGCAGAGGAGAGAATAGGTGAACGAGAAGATAAAGTTATGGAAAAAGAGGAAGCTGAGAAAAAGAGAGATAAAAAAAATCCAGGAGTATGAGGGGAAAATTAGAGAACTAAGTGATACACTAAAAAGAAATAATATACGCATAATTGGTATCCCAGAGGAGGAAGAGAGAAGGAAAGGTGCTGAAGGGGTACTTGAAGAAATAATAGCTGAGAACTTCCCTGAAGTGGGGAAGGAAAAAGGCATTGAAATCCAAGAGGCACAGAGAACTCCCTTCAGACGTAACTTGAATCGATCTTCTGCACGACATATCATAGTGAAACTGGCAAAATACAAGGATAAAGAGAAAATTCTGAAGCAGCAAGGGGTAAACGTGCCCTCACATATAAAGGGAGACCTATAAGACTCGTGACTGATCTCTCTTTTGAAACTTGGCAGGCCAGAAAGAGTTGGCACGAGGTTTTCAGTGTGCTAGACAGAAAAAATATGCAGCCGAGAATCCTTTATCCAGCAAGTCTGTCATTTAGAATAGAAGGAGAGATAAAGGTCTTCCCAAACAAACAAAAACTGAAGGAATTTGTCACCACTAAACCAGCCCTACAAGAGATCCTAAGGGGGACCCTGTGAGACAAAGTACCAGAGACATCGCTACAAGCATAAAACATACAGACATCACAATGACTCTAAACCCATATCTTTCTATAATAACACTGAATGTAAATGGATTAAATGCGCCAACCAAAAGACATAGGGTATCAGAATGGATAAAAAAACAAGACCCATCTATTTGCTGTCTACAAGAGACTCATTTTAGACCTGAGGACACCTTTAGATTGAGAGTGAGGGGATGGAGAACTATTTATCATGCTACTGGAAGCCAAAAGAAAGCTGGAGTAGCCATACTTATATCAGACAAACTAGACTTTAAATTAAAGGCTGTAACAAGAGATGAAGAAGGACATTATATAATAGTGACAGGGTCTATCCATCAGGAAGAGCTAACAATTATAAATGTCTATGCGCTGAATACCGGAGCACCCAAATATATAAAACAATTACTCATAAACATAAGCAACCTTATTGATAAGAATGTGGTCATTGCAGGGGACTTTAACACCCCACTTACAGAAATGGATAGATCATCTAGACACACGGTCAATAAAGAAACAAGGGCCCTGAATGAGACATTGGATCAGATGGACTTGACAGATATATTTAGAACTCTGCATCCCAAAGCAACAGAATATACTTTCTTCTCAAGTGCACATGGAACATTCTCCAAGATAGATCATATACTGGGTCACAAAACAGCCCTTCATAAGTTTACAAGAATTGAAATCATACCATGCATACTTTCAGACCACAATGCTATGAAGCCTGAAATCAACCACAGAAAAAAGTCTGGAAAACCTCCAAAAGCATGGAGGTTAAAGAACACCCTACTAACGAATGAGTGGGTCAACCAGGCAATTAGAGAAGAAATTAAAAAATATATGGAAACAAACGAAAATGAAAATACAACAATCCAAACGCTTTGGGACGCAGCGAAGGCAGTCCTGAGAGGAAAATACATTGCAATCCAGGCCTATCTCAAGAAACAAGAAAAATCCCAAATACAAAATCTAACAGCACACCTAAAGAAAATAGAAGCAGAACAGCAAAGGCAGCCTAAACCCAGCAGAAGAAGAGAAATAATAAAGATCAGAGCAGAAATAAACAATATAGAATCTAAAAAAACTGTAGAGCAGATCAACGAAACCAAGAGTTGGTTTTTTGAAAAAATAAACAAAATTGACAAACCTCTAGCCAGGCTTCTCAAAAAGAAACGGGAGATGACCCAAATAGAT